TATGATGTTTTATAGTGGCATGCGTGTGCGGTTGTGTGAGGGTTATTCGAACTGTGGGGTGTTTCACAAAGATCTTAAGTTGAACTTATCTTTAATTATGGAAAGCCGTTAGCATCTTTGAATTTTTTTTTGGCAAAATTTATTTTACAAGGCATAAAATGTTGAATCAAATCATTCATATTTTCTATTATCAAGGAGATTTCATGTTCTTGATGAGGAATTTATGAAAAGTCTAAAATACTTGGAATTTTTGCTTTTGAATATATTGTATTTTAAGGCTACAAATGGCTCTCCATAATGTTAAAGTCCAACTTAAGAGTTAGGTTTGACTTAGGATCTTTTTGAAACACCACCAGTTTTCCTATCTGCAAACTCCGACCCATAGCCTGTGCAAATGGAGGGTTCAGTGGCGGATCTAGGGGGCGGGGGGCCCGGGCCCCCCTCCCCCCTGGCAAAAAAAAAAAGAGGGAAAAAAAAGAAGGGAAAAAAAGAAGGAAAAAAAGAAGGAAAAAAAAGAAGGAAAAAAAGAGAAGGAACAAAAAAGAAGGAAATAAAAGGGGAAAGATATCAAAGGTATCAAAATATGCTCATCTCAATGCCTAAAATCCTCTAAGTTTCCGGGGCTCCAACCCCTCGACCCCACCAGGGGCCCCAAGGCGGCCTCTACATGCTTGTCTGACCGTTAGAAAATTCCTAAAAAGCCTGAGCTTCTGTGGGCCCCGCCTCCTGGACCCCACGTCAATTCGTGACCTGCCAGTGTCACAAAGTATAAAATCATGCTCATCTGACAGTAATTTGTTGCCCCGAACCCCTGAGCTTCCGGGGCTCTGCCCCCTGGACCCAACCCAGGGCCCTAAGGCGGACGGCTGGATGATTCTAATCTGACGGTAATTTAATGTATAAAACCCCTGAGCTTCTGGGGCCTCCGCCCCCTGGACCCAACACCAAATTGTGTCCTGCCAGTGTCACAAATAAGGTATACAAACATGCTCATCTGACCGTTATTTATTGCCCAAAACCACTGAGCTTCCGGGGGCTCCGCCCCCTGGACCCTACGCCAATTTATGACCTGCCAGTGTCAAAAATAAGGTATAAAATATGCTCATCTGACCGTTATTTATTGCCCGAAACCCCTGAGCTTGTGAGAGCTCCGCCCCTGGACCCCACGCTAATTCGTGACCTGCCAGTGTCACAAATAAGGTATAAAATTATGCTCATCGGACGATAATTTGATGAATAAAACCCCTGAGCTTCTGGGGGCTCCGCCCCCTGGACCCAACACCAATTTATGTCTTGCCAGTGTCACAAATTAGGTATAAAAATATGCTCATCTGACCGTTATTTATTGCCCGAAACCCCTTAGCTACCGGGAGCTCCGCCCCTGGACCCCACGCTAATTCGTGACCTGCCAGTGTCACAAATAAGGTATAAAATATGCATATCTGACGATAATTTAATGTATAAAATCCCTGAGCTTCTGGGGGCTCCGCCCCTGAACCAAACACAAATTTATGTCTTGCCAGTGTCACAAATAAGGTATAAAAATATCCTCATCTGATCGTTATTTATTGCCCGAAACCCCTTAGCTACCGGGAGCTCGCCCCCTGGACCCCACGCTTATCGTGACCCGCCAGTGTCACAAATAAGGTATAAAAATATGCTCATCGGACGATAATTTGATGTATAAACCCCTGAGCTTGTGAGGGCTCCGCCCTTGGAAAAAACGTGCAAAAACACGTTAATTTAACCTTTTTTTTGGAGATAGGCCCCCCCCCCCCCACCATGGCGTTCAGGGGGGGGGGAATGCGATTTTTTTCAATTTTTGGAGGGCCAAACAAAATAAGTGCTCACTCCCCCCCCCCCCCCCCCCCCCCCCCCTCCCCACCCCACCCCGCTGAGCGAAATATTGGCCGGCACGATTTTCAAATCTGGGCCCCCACCCCTAAGAAATCCTGGATCCGCGCCTGGGTGGGTTAAGTATTATATGATAGATATTTGATATAAGGGTGTGTGTGGGCGTAAGCACGTGGGTGTGGATATGTCAGGAAGTTGGTTTGCTTCCAGAAACCTCCATCCTGTAGGCCTGTGCAAAGCGTGGGTTGTTTGTGATGTGACATTAGGGACTTTTCGATTTGAACGTCGACATGGTAGACTGCTACGTGTGGCGTCCTTTTAAGGCACACAAGTCCCTATTATGTTACCAGGTCGATGTGTGTGTGCATGCATGGATAATGTTTTGTGTCAGGGTGGTCTGAATTTGTTTAGTTTTGAATATTCTTCTTTTCGGTAATATTTCAATTAGGTGAAATCAAAAGATTTTGGGATGCATTACAGGCGAGATGAATGAAATGTTTGCATTGAGGCACTTTACAAAGACGTACGGTATGCATTAAATTTGGTTATATTACGAAAATGCATGCAAATTACAGAAATGAGGATACTTTTAGTTCTATGTATTTATATTTGTCTCATTCCCAAAGGGAAGTGATGACTTTATTACAAAAGAAAATTCAATACAGTCAAACAGCTTGGCAACAGCAATACTAGTTATCTTATCAATTAACAAAACTCCTTAAAAGTAAAATTCATGTTCAACTCATAACAAATAACCGTACACATTGATTTGTTCGACACATAACATGACCAAACTTGTTTTCAGTAACCTTTATAAAAAAAATATCGTGTACAATCATAGGAAGAGAAGGGACTCTTCGACATCGTTAAAAATATTAATAGGAAAAAGAAATATCAGAAACGATCAGGAATTCATAACTATATTATTGTGAGGACAACAAATATTTTTCTTCTTCATTATCGGACAATCCAACCCATGAAGAGTAGCTAATAGGTGCAGATATTTTACCAGTATGCAGACTTTAGAGTGAATTTGCAGAGCAAAGTGCAAATTGAAGCCTCGTTCAGATTCGATGCGGGAAAAACGTGGTAAATTCGTAATGATGTAAAGTGCAATACGTTACACATTTCCTATCTTGCAATGCAGAATTCTGTGAACATGCTCATGACCTTTGCTAAGCACAGTTGCCATTCATTTACATGTGAAATAAAGTGGTGTTTTTTTTGGAGGCACTTTATCGCGTCATATCTGATCAGGCCATTAAAGGTAAAGACCAGTATTGGAAACGCCCCAATTTCAAAAAATGAAATGGAAGCTCTCATTACCAATCATGTGAAAGAATATGTTTTGATTAATACATGATGATAAAAAATTTGCCGGGAAACCAACTACTAATTCATATATTTGATAAATTTGTTTCTCTCATGGTCTGTGAGAGATATAGGGTAGTCCCATATACATCTTTCTGTGTATAGTGCCTGTAACTTTACGAAGAATGGGCCAAATTTCTTATCATTTTGATGATTCCAGAACCTTGCAGACGCAAGATGATCAACCTTTTCTGATCGATTCCACAACGTTTCTTTCACAATGCAATCGCATGACCATAACTGGTCTTTACCTTTAACAGCAATACTACACATTTTCTTCTTTTTAAACTATAGATACAATACCATATCATGAACCTTTTTTTTTTTCTTCTTCAAATGTTAAATTGAGGACACATCCAAAACACATATCCATGCAGTTTTTCAATAAAGGTCCAAAGAAATATTTAATTTTCTTTTCTTTTCTTTTTTTTAATTGTTAAATTCAGGACACATCCAAAACGCATATCCATGCAGTCTTAGCAAAGGTCCAAAGTATTATTTAATTTAATTGCATGACAAACCAGGGTAAAAACTTTTCTCACGAAATTTTAATCATGCTCAATTGCTCAGCAGCTGTCTGACAAATAAGAAATTTGGAGTTATCCCAGTCCAGTCTATGAATATCTATATATAGTTACTACTCTCTCTATTTTCAGTTTTTTTAAAAATATTCTGTGAAGTTATGGGCAAAGACGAGTTTCGCTCTCATTCCCCTTATGTAAATTTAATATATGAATTAGTACCGTTAAAATATTGTAAACATAAGAGGTATTGTCGAATATAAGCCACTGCAGCATTGCTAATAAATCTGCCATTTGTAGTAACAGATAACACAACATAACAGCACAAAGTATAATAGTATAGCTATCAAACAGTTACCTACTGTCCACACAAAGAAACAACATCATGCATGGGGGAGAAATAAGAATATATGACAGGAATGTTCTCTTTTATCAACAAATGAAACAATTTTAAATCTTAAACAGATAGCAACAGTGCCATACAAGACTGCATGATTTAATTGATTCTTTTAATTATCCCTACTATAAAAATGAAAGAATCTTGTGTGTATCATATTTCTAGAATCCATACCCCCCCCCCCCTTTCAAATATCATGCTAGCCTGATTAACGCATCTAGAACATTTGTTACAAGTAACAAAATGCTAATATACAATTCTTTTCTCCTTCATTTGATATCAACTGTTTTTTGATGGGGTGAGGGGAAACTTGTTCATAGGGTGCGTTAAACATAAAATTCAGGGGGAAATATACATTTGAAAATACACTGTAGTGCATTTGGTATAAAGAAAACAATCTTCCATATTGCTGCTCCCTCTCTTTAGGTCTAACCAAAGATAACTGGGGGGCGTTTCACAAAACTTGTCATCAGCGCCAATTGTAAGATTTTGTTATAAGCTACTGAAATCCTTGCTTCTGATTGGTTATCACCAGATTTGTCACTGATTTTTGTCGTTTGTCATTGAAAAAAGGCTTTGTGAAACGGGTCCCTGGTAGCTAACAGGAAGAAAATGTTTATAAAGATTTGAAAATAACGGTTGCATTTACCAATGTATCCAGATACATTACTACCAGTACAGGTCCTGCATGAATTTCTATCACTTCAAAGAGTGAACTACATGTATCTTAAAATAGTACAAGCACATTCTTCTTCGATTTAATTTAGCAGCATATTTCAAGATCCTTAGTTCATTACCTTTATTTGGCATTTCAGTTCTTGATTAACAGAAACATATTATATACCAATTTCTTTAAAAAAAAAAAGTGATACCAAGGGTGAAAAACATGTCATCAAATTTTCTGTAAACACACAAAAAAGTTATTTTCATCCTGAGCAATTTGACAATGCACGCCTCAACATGTAGAATCCAGACTTTCCACCCTTCATCTCATCAAATCTTAATCTTTACATTAATTATAAATGGTACTGTACTATAAAGACGATCCTGTTTATATCTTTACTTACACATTATAAAGTCATTGATAAACATCGATGATACAACATATTCTTCATTCAAGGCACAGAGATAAATTGACGTCACCTTCTCCGATGGTCATTGGCATGGGATCTCCCAGAGTCTCTTTTGGATGATTTACGGGAGCGCGATATAGGGGATCTAGAGCGGGACGTGGACCGCTCCCTTCTGTGTTTGCTCCTACTCTTGTGGCGAGAGTGGGAGGATTCTTTGGTAGAGTCATTGTATGGGCTATAGTGGCGCTTGTGCCGACGCTCCCGCGACCTGCTCCTCGATCTCGACCTGCTTCGGCTGCTGTAGCCGCGGGGCGGGGTCCGGTTCCGTTTCGTCTTGTGCCCGTGGCGGTGCTTGGGGCTGACGGAGCGGTCCCGCCGGCTGCGCTTGTGGTCATCCCTCTTGCGCTTGCTGCTTGATTGCCGTTTGCGGTTATTGCGAGGTGAGGTGCTCCGACTCCGTGAGCTTCGGTCCCGGGAGGAATGCCTGTCCATGGCAGAGTCGTGGCTGTTGGATCTACGACCACGACTTGAAGATCGGCTTCTGGTCGAGATAGACGAAGACGGGGTCCTTTTGTGTTTGTCTGCTTTGCCATTTTCCCTGTAAAAGAAAAAGGATGAAAAAGAGGACAGTGATGTCTCTGAATAAATGAAACTTCTCGTCTGTTGAAAATATCTTTTTATTACCAAAATGTACTCCAGTACTTTTAGCCTTGAAGAGGGTTTACTGAGAGAAAGGTTAATCATTAGTTTTAGCCATCTTTCAACAACAACAAAATCAGGAAATGGGAAAAATTCTGTAGATGTAAATTTGGAGGGAGATCTTTCATTTATTCTCATGTAATATCAGGATTTCATCTTTTGCATAACCATCCAATCCTGGATGTAAGAATAAAGATCAAACGCAAACATTGGCACCATCTATACTTTAAAATGAATTCCAGAGACTCAAATCGCTAGACCTACCTGCTCTTGGTGCTTCCTGAGGCCGATCCAGAGTGAGCTTCCTCCTTGATAGAATTAGAGTTGACTTTGTACATCTTAGGCAGACCACTTGGAGAGTCGTTGTTCAATTTGGGCGAACCTGTGTAGGGGTGAAGAAAAAAATGTCATTAATAGTCCATGGGGTCAGAGGAGACTCGGTTTATGACAGCAATAGGATGGAAATACATCAAAGATAATGTTGTTTTTTTTTAAACAGCAGTACTGGCTAAAAGAATTTGTGAACAAGAAGTAGATTGAAATACAATGTTCACAATTTTTGAAAAATAAATATTGTCATTAACAAATTTGTCATAAAAATATGATACATGAGAAACAGAAGTAATGGACTCATCTGAAAATAACTGTATGAGGCATAAATACAAGTCAAGTTCAGAGCGATGGCCATGGTAAAAAAATTATGTGTTTATGATAAACCAAATAATGTCATCATAATTTAAATCCACGTTTAAAAAACTGCAGATCTTCAGGAACCTTTTTTCTTTCACGATAGTATAAGAGCTTCTGTCACGTAAATTGAACCTTATCAGCGGACTGAACTGGAGGAATACTCACTTGGTCTTGATGTGTGAGGTGAGAAGCTGCTGGGGGTCCCTGTCTGACTGTTGGCTCCAGACTCCGCCAGGTGACCTTTGGCCCTGAGCTTGGCCTCCTGGATGACCATCCGACATCGCTCCACCTTCTTGTCCAAGTATTCATAGCTTTTCTGTAGGGATCAATGGAGGGAGGGAGTTCATACTCAGTGCAAGGCCAATCACATCATAATATTCAGTGAAACCTGTCTACAAAGACCACCCAAGGGAGACAAGAAAAGTGTTTTTATAGGCAGGTGGTCTTTATGTACAGGTGCCTATAGTACATGTTTCGATGAGAAACCATTTTCGAGGGAAACAAAAAATGTGGTCTTTGTAGACAGGTGGTCACTAAAGCAGGTTTGACTGTACATCCTTTATAACAAACTACATGTAGATCAAATGCAGGTGCTGTGTTCCATCTTCATCCTATGGAATGACAAGCCCTGGATAACTTGATAAGCAAATCGTTGATAATAGAAATATGAATAACTGAAAATTATTGAACAAAAAGGCATATATTGCATCAAATTCTACAATTATAGCGTCATATACATGCACAAGAAAATATTGAGCAATTACAATTGTATCGGTAGATTAGTATCTGTTCCGGTAAGTATTTGCCTGCCATGCTGTAAGCTTTATTAGACATTACATTACATCGTTTGTTAATAAAGGAAAACAATGCCAGGTTAATTCCTGTGCCACAGCAGGACAATATGTAAATTTAGAGGTTCATGAGTTTTACTCCAAGATTTAGCTAGGCGTTATTATCCTGAACTACAAAAAGATAACAGTGTAGAAGGCTGAACATTTTCAACCATACAATAATGTAAACAAGGGAGGGAGGGATACTTACGATCTTCCTGGTGTACAATCGGAGGATGATGAGGGAGATGTCTTCTACCTGTTCATCTGTGGCTCCCATAAGTCCATACCATGGAGGATTGCTAGGCAGAGGTAGCTGAGGAGATTTAAAAAAATAAGATTAAATGTTAACTGTCCGTGTGAAGGACTAGCTGCACATTACTTACATACCGGATATTTGAAAATTAGTTCTTTCTTCACTATCTGTAGAAAAATATCTGTTTCTGTAAGTTTTTCGCCTGCCATGCTGAACAAGCTTTATCAGACTCATGTCATAGCTGGTGCAGATAAACCTCTTTGGTGCAATACAGATACGTTCACTTAAAGGTGCCTAAACACATGCTATGGTAGAACTGCTCAAGGTGCCAGACAAGTTCAAAAGAATCCTAAACATTTCATTCTCGATTGTTAATTAATGATAACAATTGGAACCTCTTAGATCGCGAACACTATAATGGAACCTTGTCATGTCAAGAAGCAAACCAACAGAATGCAAAGAACTTGAATTGGCATTTGTCACAACTGCTCCACTGAAGATACTGTACCACTTACTGGACACAGGAGAAATATAAAAAGAAAAGGACCCCATAATTTTTAAGCATTAATACTTACTCCAATTTGCCTAGCAGAGAGGGATATACAAGCACATGCCACGGTCTCTGGGGTGTAGCGAACAAAGACGTCTGTCCTTAGACTGTCATTCATGTAGTTCCTGCACAAGAAGAGCAAACATAGTGACAGAAATTTAGATCAACGTTTTCAAGAAGAACAATATGTGGTGCTAATCGATATTCTACAGAATATGAATCAGTTCTAGGCAGTCTCCTTAACTCAGGAATATGAAGCTTTTGTTTATTGTGAACAGAAAATTGGAGAAGTTGCTCGAAATTCCTGCAACTTTACAGAATGCAACTGCTGTCAACTGGTCATGGTAAATTTGGTTTACTGCTATAAGAAAGTCCAAGTTGGAATCTCCAACTTCATGCATCTTTACAGAATACCGACCGGTTTTGTGGGCGATTGTGTTTGATGCAGCATATAAAATCAAAGGTTTCTGCTTACCAAGCTTTGGCGTTTTACCATCCACACGCCCTTCAAATCACCTGATCACTCCGCCAGTAGAAACTATCCGTCAATATTCTCATCATCGTCATAAGAAATGAAGAGTGCACTCCTGGTTCTTTCCGTGGGACAATGGTTTCACTTGCTCAATCAACCTTCTCACTGCCTTACACACTTGGTTACATGTACTCAACACTACAACTACACGTTTATACATACCTAGTACAAAGTATTCCAAACACAAAATTTTCTAGTTCTAAGGGTGCGTTCAAGCGACACTTTTTTACCCTAGAAACACGATTTTCAAAGACCATGTTTAAAACATGGTTAAGTTCCAGCGATTTTTTTTTGTCGATCGTAAAAATTAACGTGTTTAAAATGCAAACATGAAACGCTGAAAAAGATGCGTTTTGAATCGCGATTCTGCAGAATCACGGTCGCTAAAATTCGCTTGAACGAACAGAGATCTCGAACATGATTCTATAACGTCATTATCGTGGCCTGCTTTCGGTTCGGCCAACAGTCGACCGTAAACAAATTCAGAAAGCACGCGGCAAAGTTGACCTATACTTTCTGGGTCAAACTGCAGTGGCTGGACTTGAAATGAGCGAGAATCAGTGTTGATGAAAAATTGCTTGAATGCTCTCCTGCAGTAACTATGTTTTTAACAGCATTTTGATATGCGATTCAGGTTTGTGATTCTAGCTTTAAAAAAATCGCTTGAACGCACCCTACAAGTACAGACCAGAGTGCTTGCCATCAAAATACCTGCCCAAAGACCAGGGGCAAAAATCTTGAGTAAATTTTACTTACCTATATCAGGTGAGCATAACAATGCTATTCAAAATTTGAGGGATCGGCACACAAACTACGGATAGTAATATTTATGTCAACAGTCATTGCAATACAGGATTGGCAAATAATCTGTCATATAAATCTGTGTTGTTGTTTTTTACGGGGGGGTTGGAATAAACAATTAAGTTTGATCAAATAAAGAAGCAAGTTGAAACCACAGCGAGTAAAAATTCCTTACTCGATTGCTAGCTGCCTGGGCAAGTACTTTGTAATGTAGCAGCCTGGTTAGACTTTCCTTACTTAGTTCTAATAGTTATTACTTAGAAACAATAGTTCTAATGCAATTACAAGGAATATTAACAAGAGGGCATGAGCCAGCAGTATGATAGGGATTGTGCCATTTTTTTCTCAACCATCTTCAAGAAATTAGATAAATACATAGGACTAGACTGCCTATCAGTATCATATGCCGAGTAGACATGATCTAATGCATTTATTGCAAGAGAAAATTGCTAGCAAACAGATGTGTAGGCACATTGCCGTTTGGGAATACCATTTCACTGCCTATTCGTTCAAGCTCTTAAAAACCTGATCACAACACATTCTGACCCTTCCCCCTTTATAATATTCCGTTTTTTAAAGCTTATATATACCTAAAGGGTGTATGTGCCAGAATAGCTGGCAGCAACAGCCATGTCTTTTGTTCAGTCTTCCTGAATACCATGTTTCGATTTGTGATTCGGCTTACATTATGCATTCATCACTACCATCTTACTTTATTGTGCCTCATCAATGATGATGATCATCATCAAATCTGCAGTCTTTTCTAAAAATGTCTCTCCATCCACCATTGACCATCTCTTCAGGCGAGTGTAGGTTATGAAGGTTGTCCAAATTCACTGTCTGCTATCTGCAAGGTTATACAAGCTCAAGAAAGAACAGACACCATTGCACAATCTTTAAATCAACACAAAGAACTGCATCCTTGGCCGTAGCAGTCATCTCCAGTTCAAGCGCTTCACAGAATAATGTGAAGATGATCATCTGACTTCTGAACAGTCAATGTTTCCTCCAAAGAATTTCCTTGTATGGATGGTCTACATCTCGAGTCTAGTCCCGGGTAGGACAAAGCTCTTTCATCAGGGTTTCATAATCTCCACATCTGTCATCAGGTTTTCAAGATCTCCACATCTGCAAAAGTCTACAAAATCATGTACGGGTACTGGGACATGAATAACACATGTTTCAAAGCACGTTAATACATTTGCAATGGACATGGAACTTATCATCATCAATAAATCTAAATCTCTAGTAACAGTGTGTTACACAAGAAAGATGAATTTGATCATGCTTTTGTGTAACAATAATCAGAAAACATGCATATCTTCTTCTTGGAACTCGTTCATGCAACCAAGCTTTGAGCTCGATTGTGACATGCTGCAAGTGATGTGTTTTTTGGTTCTGAAGTTCTGGCCTAGCACTGAAACAGGTTCACCTATTTCGTACCAAGCTTTGTGTGAACTGTGATGACAAATTTTTGGGATTCCAGGGGCAGGTCGCTTGAAGCTCATTCTTAAATGAGCCAGGTTGACCTTCAATCTGGATGATCTCTGGGTGACCTTGCATTGTTCCACTCCAGTCGTGTCCAGAATTCTGTCAAGGGTTCGTTTCCAAATGTCTTGATATTGTTCACATAAGGTCCAACGCCGATGGTTTCATGGAAGACTTGAAAGGTTTTTAATCACCGATCTGTAAAGAGTCTATAGAAGAGTCATCAACACAATTGAGCATGTGCGATGGCTATTTCTAAGCAACTGTACCTTACTTAAGCTCACTTAAATATGCTAGCATAATAACATATGTTTAATTAAACATCCAACTTAGCATCTACACTAGAAGCATGATCTCTTGTATCATTTCCTTGAAACTGCTGAGTAACTAATAAGATTAAGGAAAAAATGTCATTCCAAACCTTTCATTTTTCAACTAAGTTTTACATTCTTTTGCCTACATATACATGTAGAAGCAAATCAATTTGTGTAAAATATGAACATTCCTATTGCCTTTGTAAATGGAGCTTAATATTCAAAAGATTTAATTAGATGTACTTAATATGACAACTGAAATACTCTGTAAAAATCTACTTTGATGTCTAATTATCATATACCACCCATTTGCTCAATTATTGACATCTTGTAATTAGTAAACACATTTAAATACGTTTTGAAAATCAATTTCTTAACATCTATGCATGAGGAAATTCAAATCATCTCCACCAACTACAACTTACTGTACTCATCACAGTCCTTAAAAAGGCAACAAAAAGAATTAATTTTTGAATGAAGCAAAGCAATTAAACAAAATAAATAAAAACAAATAATGAAAGAACACCACCCTGTGGTATACCGTACTGGTATACCTGACAAAAGTGATGTCCTCTTGTGTGTAGACAGGCAGTGAGAAGACCATTCTGTAAGGAACCCACGAGACCAACGGAGTGCACACCTCCTTTACTCAGACGACTGAGAGGAAATGACCAGGGGGAGAGCTTGGACGGACGTAGCCACATGCCAGTCGGTCAGCTGTCCAGTCCTTGTGGGGCAAGGCCCCCCAGCTGGCTGGCTGGCTGAAGTGACCTGGTGATGTTGAGCAGGCGTGTGCGAAGGTTGTGTGCGTAACACACGCCGTTTGGAGAGAAGTGATTTTCTCTACTTACCAACCTACATCTTTAGATGGAGGGGGATAAAATAAAATAAATAGGCATTAACCACTATCCTATATTTTTATGGAGCCTACTTCCATTACAACATGACTTAAACAACTACTAGAAGTATACTTGTGAGAAATAAGTAGTAAATGGTTATGCAAACTCCAAAGAACAAACATTACATCTCTGGAACACGAAATACAATAGTAAATCAAACAACATTAGGGCAATTGTCTTTGTTACTCCCCACCCATGGTTTTGTTTATCTACAGCAACAAAATAACACTTAATTAGTGTAACTGGAAGCATTTTGAACTAAGTTGTCAGTCAATTTCCCAGCATGCAAACAAGAATTGATCATGAAACACTAAACCGTTCATAATAAAGAGATTTTATCTGCCATAACACATTAAAAGAGGATAATAATCCATTATTTCCTGCCCTAAAATGTCAAAGCACACACAATTTAACATTTTGAAAATAGTTTAAAATTTCTTTTGATAACCCTTTAATTAACTTTCACATAGCTTCACAGACTCATGTTTAACTTCTAAGCAATTTGCATGACCATACAAAAGCACAGCTGTCAGAATTTTAGTAAAAGAAAGATCTTTTTTAAACAGAAAATATGTAAGGCACATTTTTTCAAAGAGTTGTATATTTGCATGGGTGGTGTGGTCAGAAGTGAATGGAACCTGGAACATATACCCTAAAAAAACCTTTGTAAATTATCATGAATTAACATCTATGAAAAATGGTTGTAGCAAGCAGTTCCAGTAAGGAATTCTAAAACTCAACTATCAGATGCCAAAACAAAGTATCTATTTGTTATTTTACCAAAGTAAGTTAAAAGCCCAAATAACAAAATGTCTTTCTTCAACACCCTTGACTGAGAATGCTATTTTTCCGATACATGAGACTTATGTGTAAATTGCTGAAGTTTTTCCCATTAATATTAAGCTCATGATTTTTAACTACGCTACATGATCTACCAAGTTCGGTGAGAAAATAACCGATTTGTACATGGGAGGCCTGTAAGGAATATTTAACTTTTACTGCCAAATTATCTCTGTAACTATAGATAACGAGTTCATTACGCCCACCCATGACACCAAAATCCTTCCTTCCTAAAAATCACAATTTGGAAGCTATATTATTCCTATCATTTTACTATTCAGCTGCATGTCGGTTTGGTCCTACATGTACACCATTATTCCCACCTTAAATCTTTCTTAAACGCATCATGTTGAACTAAAATTAACCATCAAACCCGATATTTACTGAAGGAAAGTATTACCATCCCATCCCCCTGTTCCCTTTAGAGAAAGTAGGAATCAAAACAACCCGATCCTTCCCTTTCTTACGATAAATTTAATTACGATGCCTTTATTTTGGACATTATTCACTTCTGATCACAACACCATATGCAGGGCATAGAAACAAGAGATGTGTACTCACCATGCCGTCCGGACGAGCTGAGTATTGGACTCACACTCCAGCGCCTGTATGTACGTCACTATCATCTTCAGTGACGAAAGGGCAGGGAGGGAAGAAAAGGGCACACAAATCAAGTTAGAAAATGGGATCTTCAATTAAGATGGATACATGAGCCTTCGACTATCAACACATTGGAATATAATAAATACTTCATAAAAATATCTGCTAGTGGAGAGAAAGCATGTTATTGGTGCAGGTTATTCAATTGTTACACAATACATGAGAATTATTGTCGTCATGAGCATGAAGAAAAGTCAACAAATCGTTAAAAAACAACCGACATGATGGAATGATGGGAGGAGAAAAACAACAGATTATTGGTTATTCAAGGGTAAACAAACATCAGAAATACATGTAAATAGGATGAGGGTTGCTTGCATAGATATTCGACTTACACACAACTTAAAATCTGTCTATGAAACAGCATTTAAATTCTCAAGATATGGACTACAATTTCTTTTCTCTTATAACATGTGTACCAAGAATTCTTATTTCATTCATTTGGTATCAAAGCAAAGAATATAACATCAGCAAACAATTTTCTCTTTTTTTTTTCTTCCATGAAATACTTTTATCTCTAAATAAATCCAACGAAAAAAGGAAATTGAGTTCTCATTCTTGTCGCAATCACTTGTGATTTGTTGTGAGTTGGTCAAAATACTTTGCAAGCAACCCTCTAGTATTGATATTTACCTTGTGCGGATGCTTGACGTGGACGCAGAAACCAAGTTCCTTGAGTAATCTTCGTTCAGCCTTGATCACCTGATTTTTCAGGTTGATATATTTTTGGTCGGATATGATAGGTTCAGAGGCTCTGGAGGGGGAAAAGATGGGAAGAATATATAACATACTCTACATGTTTCATGTAATATGACAAACTAAATGCATCATAATGACACATGCTGAACAAATTATTACAATCATTGAAGTAATAACACATCGTAATTTAATTTGATTACGACAGACTGCATGTATTTCAGCAGAACCCATATATTATTGAGATTACACAGCTAATTTTGAAAATGGCAAGTAGTACAACGATGTCTTATTGTTGTATTGAAATGTGAGAAATTGTCAGTGAAATTGCTTGCATGGTCGCTCATTGAGCAAAGACAGGAACTGGGCCCTGTAGCATAAAACATACTACTGATGGTAACTTTGCTATCAATATTAACTACCATGGCAACATCACTCAACAGCCAATCAAATCAAGGTTTTCATGGAAGTTACTATAAATGACAAGGTTACCATCAATGCTAAGTTATATGGAATGGTGCCCAGATCTTAAAATGGAGCAAACATCAATCGACACATGCCGTCATTGCTTTTCAGAGATATCCCCTTTAAAAAAATTATTGACAAATTTCATGTTTATCATACTTACTTATTGTTCCTTTTCTGTCGTATATGATGGAACACATTTATGACATCTCTCAACCTCCTAGGTGCCTCCTCTATCTTTGATGCTAGGTTGATGCAACCCATGGCAACCGTCTGCAGATGAAAAGAACACAAGAGAATCAATACAAAATAGAAATTGTTTTTAAGTTATTAAAAGATATATTATCAAAAGTTTTACTTAATTTATATTCAGAATAAAATGCAACAAATCAATAAGGTTTACTGTTGCAGATATTTAAAAGCATATTTTCTATAGTTTTCTTGACAGCTTCAACTTTACATGTACCTTAACAGGAGAGTAGAATGCAGTCTAAAAATTTGTTTCCCGGATAAATTAGCATGGATGCTACTCACCTCCATGTTATGCTTGACCAATGACTTTGAGTAGTAGAACCTCTGAAACAGTACCTGTCCTGTAGCCATAGCAACCTGGAGAAATATGAAGAAAAAAAAATGTTATGTCTTAGCATCAAAGTTGGTCATTTATTCATTCCTCTTCCTGAGTGATCATCACGATATTGACATAAAATGTTGCACACTTGAAATTCATGCGAGTGATGTTTTGGTGTCAGCCTTACGTGGAGGTTGTTCTCATAAACCAGGAAAAAATAAGGACCGTCTGCATTTAAACAGACCTTTTTTTTCATCCACGCTCTGGGGGTTTCCCATTCATGCGCTGGCAATGTGAAAAACAGATTCCGGGTAATAAATTACCCCCAATTCACTCTCTACTTTTAAGTTTTATGGGTCGTCCGTCTTCCCGAAGAATAATCACTCATAAACATGAGAGTCTCTACAAAAAGTCATGGTGAAATGCAACAAGAAAACCATCGCAGAATCCATTTTTCGCATCACCAACGCGCGGATCGGACATCAGAATCGTCAGCGAATATGCGGATGCATGATCCTTATTTTCGCGGAAGCATCTGTCCGCGTTTACGAAGACAATCCTCATTTATTGCTGACGATCCTTATTCGCGGACCAGCGCCCCTACTGGAAACTGCCACTGGGCAACAATCTTCAGATTATGATCATTGATTCATTTAAATTTATTGTCACAATTTGTTTCTGTTTAGGCTAACAATAACATGAACACAATCACATTCACAAATCAAAACATCTAATTTGAACATTACTGATGGACAACACAAATTTCACAGATTATCAAACGTGATGAAGTTCTAACAACTGACAAATCTCAAAACTGAAGTCAGACTTAAAGTATAAAATCTTGACAATGATTCAGTAAGTTTTTTAATTTTTTAATTGGGATGCACGCACTAAAACTGAAAAGTCGATTTACACGTAGTTTTACATAGGCCTAGGCCTACTACATGCATGGTGAATGGCTTTTTAAATTTTACCTGAGGAAGTTTGAGAAGAATCCCAGCCATCTGAATGAATTCACATCCAAGGATTCTCAGATCCATTTCTGTCTCCGTTTCCAGGCCATCATTGGCAGAAGGGGTTTGCGAGAGTTTTGCGTCAGGTATAAGGACATTGTCAAGCGTAATAATAACATTTCCATAGGATATTTCTGACGATTTCGCTAAAGTTGAAGGCTTGTCGTCGTCCGCCATACTTGCAATCGCTGACTAAACGTTGAAGCGCATGCGCACGTAGATGAAACCAGTGATTGCGGATTAATATCGAAAAATAATTTTATGTGATTCTTCCATTCAATGGATTGGATCTCTCAATTTTATTCCATTTGGGGTTTAAATCAAATAAAATATTGATCATCTGTATGTTTACGTTTTCATTTCACATTAATTTTTATATCAATTACCTATTTTTGGATGAAATGAAGGATCTCTTAGACGATAGTGATAGAACTAGTTTAATTGCTCACGGAATATATAAGTGGAAAACGATCGTGACGTCACATCTTCCCGGTAACAGATCACGTGGCCGGACATTTTCAAACAATCGTAACAAAGAGAAAGCAGAGCTGATTCATAAACTGAGTACAGGAATTTAGATTAAATAGCTTGATGATATCATAGAGTACGGATGCCAGTAAAATCCATGATTAGAGCAAGGAGCTTCAAACATTACACAATAGAGCCAGTCGCAAATTTGGTGAAAATGAAGAGAGGGGGGGGGGGGGGGGGGGGGGGGGGGGGGGGGGGGGGGGGGGGGGGGGGGGGGGGGGGGGGGTACGTGCTTGATCTAAGGGGCGCATAAAAAAATATGCAAAAGTTCGAGAGAAAAGAGGGAAGAGAAAACGGAAACAATAGGGAGATGATAATGAAGAGTAAAGCGCAAGCGCCCCGATGTACTGCTATGATGTGTATGAATAAACAGAAGCATGAACATTACATACAACAAAAGTGGAAAAGCAAACTCATCATTATGTGCAAATCGAGAGCGCATAATTGAGGCGCATCGATGACGAGAATATCATGGAAAGATATGAAATCTAACGGAAAAACAAAAAATCATAACTTGTTAACTATTGTGATCGATATTCCTTTAATTGTAGCAGAATATGACGTAAAATATCTGACTAAAACTAATAAGGAGTTCTCGATGTGGAATTGCTTTTCAAAAAAGCCGTAGCTTGGATTGTATGTTCCAGGAATTTTTTTCTTCTCCATTTCATTTATTTTCATATTTCTCATGTTACATATACATTTCAAAATAAAGTTGTTTTTGTGTGATACAATAACAATCAATAATACATAATAAATAACATAAGGATAAGTGGTCAATATACTGATTTAGGAGAAATAATTATGATGGGACCTACATGAAAGCAAGCTTATAAAGATGTAGGCCCCAGTAGTTTGTGGTAATGAATGGAGGACGGATATAAATAGTGACCAGTCCAAATGAATCAAACAATTAAAAGGGAAATAGTAAAGAAACATGGGGTGGTGCTGTTTATCCCTTTCTTACAATGTAGACAAAAGTACACGTACTTAAATTAATGGACAATGGGTGCTCAGCTGGTAAAACGAACATCACAGATAATAATAACATGATTACATTTGTATATTACATTCACATATTAAGCATAATAACAAAAAACGTGCTTGAATTTGAAACATGGTTTATAACCGCGTGGGTTGGAATTTTACGCTCAATTTATCCATTTTCTTTGCTTTATCCTTGGATATTGTTCGTTTTCTACCAAAATCGTTAATCATATATTTTTTTTTTATAGCTTTCATATAATTATTCAGAATAAAATTCATTTGATGGTATGAGAATTTATTGTTTTATCTTCAACGATGGAGAGTGACGCTCGAATCTCGCTGGCCCAAACTCTGGAAATGAATACTGCCCTCTTACGTTGTACCTTGTATCATCTGCAACTCTCTGAAACATTGCATCATCGCTGTCTTTGCACACATATCCAGTTCAGTGGAATTGGAGTGTTGTGATTGGCTGTTGGGGGAATCGACACGCGACAGTTGGAAGAGCTTGGTCCTGATTGGTTGAATTATGGATCTGATCGAGAAAGAAGAGATTGTCGATATATATTATATATACAGTCATGTAGGACCAATAGATTAGGACAAAAAACTGCATGCTGATTTTTTTTTTGAGTGAATCTATATTGCGTTTCCAGTAAACTCGTCTAGAATTAAAATATAATTTTTTTTTATACGACTCCGCTGTTTTCACGAAGTGACGGTAGTGAAAAAAATTGCATTCTATGTTAGCTACTTTTCCACAGTGACTGTTTATTGAGAGAATTATTCTAGAAGTGTCAGATTCCGGGGTCAGATTAGTTAATTGCTTCAATAAAACAGTAATTGTTTGTGATAGTAAAAACCAAATTCAGTGAAGTGCTATACATGATTATAAAGACATTAATTATGACTGAAGAAGATGAAAGGAAGAGAAAATGGGGAGAGGCATGAGTCAGAGAGAGAGAGAGAGAGAGAGAGCTGAGGGGCGTGATGGGGATGGGGGGGGGGGGGGGTAGAGATTAAAAAAGGGGTAGGGACTAGGGACAGAAGGTGGCCTGGGATGGCCATCTATCTCACTTGAATCCTATAGAATTATATGAAAAGATTATGACAAAACATTTTGTGCTAGTAGTAGGCCTACTAGGCGTTGCACTCTTGAAAGCACGATCTAAATTCTGTATTGATAGTACACTGCAAGTTTCTAATGACCCCCTTATTCTCACCCCCCCCCCCCCCCCTCTCTCTCTCTCTCTCTCTCTCTCTCTCTCTCTCTGACCATGAAGTATAGAGTATGATCACATGTGCATTATATCGGGCATTATTATCGTGTACAGTCATTCATTGACCAACCACGCACGCAGCACGTCAGTGCGTAAAATGTTCCCCCGCAGTTTTTCTCCTAAACTCTCACTAAATCGTTTGATTTGATGATTCATAATTGCGATAATCATTTTTACGCCTTGCTTCTGTTGAGACCGGAACCTACTTCTGATACCAACATTGTGAGCTCACTTCATTTTCATCATCTCAGGCACAAGAGTATATATTTTGGAGTCACTTATTGGTGTGTCCACTTTTGAACAGCGCGGGTACTTGGATCACGTCGTCTGCTACGGGATCTCTCCAGCTTTGATCAGTTGTACACTGACCGTCACCATATTGCCGACCGCGAAGCTACGGCTAACTCATCGCTCGACACACCGCTCAACTCATAGCACGTTAAACTATTTTTCTAGTGGCTATAGCTTTATACACATAGTTTTACAAGCATAATGGATTTTGTGATTATGGAAAAGGCGACGGCCTTCATACTTCTTCTTCTTTCGCTCTTCCAAGTACTTATATCAGCTCAAGGTAAGTGCCAATAAAAATAGATTTCTATTTCAAGAACAGAACAACAAAAGAATGACTGCATGCCAAAAACATAAACACATGATTGACTCAAATATGATTAAACAAAAGAGCTACCGAAAATGATTGCAGAGGTGTTTCCATCGTTGTTGTTTTGTTGATGTTGATATTTATTTTGTTTGTTTGCTTGAGACTGTTGTGTGTTTTGTTTTCAAGTTGATTGTTCCATTTCGCTGCATTTTTGCACTGACCTGTGCGACTTTGTAAATTTTTGGAGGACATGTCGTTTTGTAAAATGGCAATTATGTATCTTAAATGGAATTGTTGCCTCTGTAGAGTGTGGACCATAACTTGAATACAATAAAATATGTATAAACCATATATTCTCAAAACAAACAATATCATATACATTGTATCAAAGTTTGATTAATTAAACATACAGGTATATGTTTTATGAAGTGGCTCAATGATTCATAATTATTATTCGGGAGAATTATTCAGCTTTTCAATGATATAATGTCAGTTATTTGCCTCTTGGCAATAACTTGGTTAGGAATCAGCTTGACATTATTTGTATGCATGTTTTCTATGTGTGATACATTGTATGCCTTTGACATTTTAGTATATGACAAGGCTCAATTCTGTACTATAGTTTTTAATGAAAATAAGCAACGAATTTGACATGACAAAATGTAGCCTATAATGCACTGCTATATCATACCAGAGTTGTTATATTCAAGACCAAATTTGCTCAGATGTTACTGCAGGCTTATCTTGCATACCACAATAATATTTTTGTCTATGTGGGTTGCAAATTGATATAGGCTTTCCACCATTATTTTTGAGAGAGAGAATAAAGCAGGTTAACATATGAAAAAGAGGTGATTGTGTACGTTAAGGCATCAGCCACTGAATAAATATTGCATTATTAATATGTAGGCTCATAAATCATCTACTTTGCAACTGAAGTACATGTAGTATTGGTTGAAATGAAAACTTGCGGAGACCACGATCTCAGAAATGCAAACGGCCACGATTAGAAAAACTTGCAGTTTTTCAAGATGATAGTGAACAAATTTCAGTCCATGTAACCAACAAAAGCCCTCATAGTATTAGTAAATGTGCGGGCTCAATTGCAGAATACCCTAATATTTGTAATGAATAACCTTCAAAATCTGAACACAGTTTAGAACAAAATTCCACAACGAATTCAAATGAAATAGTGAAACATGTTAACAGGACCCCGAATTTGAAACAAAGTGGGGACAAGAAATACAAAATACCTGTTATATTCCATAGGAAATTGCAAAAACGTGTATAAAGTACGTAAAACTTGTGTTGTTGGCCTAGATGTCATTTCTTTGTCAGACACCAAGCGATGACACAAAACAGTTTTCCGATCTACACTAGACACGTTTCCTTTTGTTTCTCGTTAATCCAGTGATGGAGACTCCTAAAATAGGCCTGTATTTGTTTGTAATATTGTTGCGGCCTGAAAGAGTTCACAATGAAATAGTATTACTATTGTTGTGGTTTTGGTGTTTTTCAGTATTGGACTGTGGAACAAGTTCGATAAGTTCGATTTCTTATTCTTCTTCTTATCTTCTCCTTCTCCCTCTTTTTAAGATCGATCAACGAAGTTATGAGAAGAAAATAATTCTATCTATCAAGAATCTTACTGTCACAATCATTTCATGAGAAGACTTAATATTTACGACAGCTTCATGGTCAAAAGTTTGTACATACAGTTAGGCCAGAAAGTTTACATACACCGGGAAGAAACTATTTTACTCGAATTTTCACAACTGCACTCATTCCTATCAGGAGTCAAATAT